ATGAAACAGGAATGGAAAAAAATTGAGATAATGTGTCTGCCCTGTCTGTCTTTGATGAGAATTAACTGTTGCCTTTGATGAGGTTGGCTGCTATAGTTTGATACCTCATTTTGAGGTTGAATCATTGTTGCATTTTAATCTTTTTGTGCTCCATTTTTTTGATGTATTTTACACCATGGGTTGCTGATATTTTATCATATTGCTGCTGAATTTTAGACTAAACTATTTGTTGCACTTCTCATCAAATTTCGGTCTATTGTTGCTATGTGTCAAGCTACATTTTGCTACACTTTTGGCTATATTTAAGCCAATGGTTTGGCTATGTATTTGGAAACTTTGCTGCACTTTTAAGTTAGACAACTGCTTACATTATTACTTACATGAGCATCTTGGTATAGTTTCACTGAACTCCCTTACCTCACTGGAAAATATGAATTTCTGACCCCTAAATACTGAGGATCTGAAGCAATCCTGTGTTTACACTGAGTCTTTCTCAACTTCTGCCAATTATCTCATGAGTTATTGCCTATTTACATACAGGAAATGACACATCCAACTTATATGAATTTGAATATTGTATTTTCACTTTTTAACATACCTTAATTTGTCTAATTACAGGAACTTCCTCACTTGATTTTGTGACTTTTGCTTAACGAAGTTTTTGGATTCCCAGTCGATTCAAGTTTCCTCAATAGGGAGAATGAAATGAATCAGTTAACTTTTTGTCCACGAAATGAATCAGTTAACTTTTTGTGCAGCCTTCGTTATTTAGCTTTGCTGGTAATATTATATCCCACATTTGTCATATATACTTTTTGAACAGTTTCATTTCTGTCACTAACAACTCAACTTTCTAAATTTACTAACACTAACAATTTTCTCAGGAACCCCTAACAACTCCCTATGCTATGGTTTTGGGAATGATGAAGAAGATCAGCAACTGAAAGTGAACAGCAGCATCCTCTACATATATAATATGATAAACAATTACATGTTGATCTCATATGTCAAAAAAATATTTTGATTTTATTACCTTAGTTAATATGGTATCAGTTGTACATATATTTTGAATATCTCTAATACTATATAACATTATTACATTATCTTATCTTCTACAACAATTATCATCAATGATTCATTAATACTGATATTTTCACTATTGGGCCCGTGCTTGCCACGGGCGTTCCCCATCTAGTATACTTAGACAACGCAGCCTATAGAAGTTTTATGTACAACAAGTTTGGTGTTAGTCCTGTTGAAATGGAAAGTGCTGCTGTGGCTCTCATTTGTTACCAACAGAAGGTACCTTACATCGTTATCCGTGCCCTCTCCGACATGGCCGGAGGTGGCACTTCCGAGTCCAACGAGGCATCTACCTTCATCACCCTTGCTGCGACCAACTCCGTTGAAGTCACCGTACAATTCATCAACCAATTGGCTACCAAAAAATTACATCAAGATGCTTCATGTCTATTATTAGTACCTTCAGTTTTTCGAATTTGTATCAAAATAAGCAAAAATCGACAAGAGATTTCTTCCGATCAAGTATAATTTATTTGTTATTTTTCATATTTCATTAAAAGTATCGTTGCCACCAAATTTAACTATTTACAACTTTAGTTGAGATTTCTTGGGATCAACTAAAGTTTTTCTTTTCTTCTTTTTTTTTTTAAAAAAAAAGTTTTTTGCTTTAACTTTTAAAATGTGAACATGTCAATATGTGAATGGCTTGTACTAGTGCCATTTTCAACTTTTCATGCGCCTCTCAAGGGTGTAATACATCTTTCACGTCATATCGATCAAAAAGTACTTAATAGTACATGTTTTTTAATAAGATAGGTATTTAATAGATGTAAGCCTCAATTAAAATGTTCAAATAAATTATGAGTGATGATAGATAACTTCAGTTTATAAAAAAAAAAAGTGTATATGAAGAATATGTATTTGTTGGATCTGAGGTAAACATCGTGATAATTTCTATTTTTCTCACAACTTAAATTGTAACTATAGAGTAATTAGAACCGGGGTGGATATCATCATATGAGATACCAATCGGAAAATAAAAAAAGAAAGTCTTTTTTATTGTTTTGTAAAAGTCAAATAGAATTAGTGTCATCAATCAAATAAAAAAAATGAGCTAGTGAGTCGAATATGAGTTCATCAAAATTTGAGTTAAATAAAAATAAATAAATTACCTAACTCGACTCATATTTTAAATAGGTAAAAACAAGTTATCCAATGGATAATATGAATAACAATAATTATCCATATTATATTAGAGATCTTATTAGAAGCTTTAAAAATAAAAAAATAAATAAAATTATCACTTCACTCCACCTCCTAGCTCCCACCTCCCAAAAAAATGTTTTTTAAAAAAAATTAATTCCACCAAACCCCTACCCCCACACACCCCATACCAGCCTCCCCCCCGTCCTTTTCCCCCTCCACACCCATCCAAAAAAAAATTTAATTTTTTGATTGAACTTCTTTTTGTAAAAAAAAATGATCACATCATCCCCCTACCCCCACCCACAGCCCACCCATCCCGCAAAAAAGTTAACAAAAATATTTAATTTTTTCATTAATATTTTAATTTTTTTTTGAAAAAAAATCACCATTCCACCCTACCTAACCCCCAGAAAAAACTTTCTTTCTATCCAATTCCTTATTACTTTTTTTTTTTATCCATTTAATTATCTATTTTTAAATGGATATCGATATTATTTAGTCAATTTGCCACCCTAGTTATGCCTATAATTATTTTATCGTACATATATAATTCTTTTTAAGAAAAGTCTTTTCTTAAAAAAAAATGAAAGATATAATTAATGACATCATTAAGGAATAACCCCACGACACTCAATTTGAAAGAAAAAAAGAGGAGCGTGATTTGACATTGTAGTATTCTCAATTATATTTAAACTAGGAAATTTGGCCGCGCTTCGGGCGGTCTTTAAAATAAATATTAAAGGATTACTTTTTTTAATTAATTCTATAGCTTTTTTTATTTTCAAAAGTAATATTATCACTTTATTTTTTTTACTTATATCTTAATTATGAATATCGTTTTTAGATGACGATTGAAATGAAACTTAACAAATTTAACATTT